AGAAAATGTACGTGAAGAGAAATTTCGAGGTGAAGGTGACGAAAACCGAGGTTGTGGCGGCGGCCCTACCGATGCAGGACCACTGGCTGCCGCTCTCCAACCTCGACTTGCTTCTGCCGCCGGTCGACGTCGGGATTTTCTTCTGCTACGGCGGCGCCGCGGCCGCCGCCGGTGTCCTGAAGAAGGCACTCGCGCAGGCACTCGTCTCGTACTACGCCTTCGGAGGGGAGCTGGTGAAGAACGGCGCCGGCGAGCCGGAGCTGCTGTGCAACAACGGCGGCGTGGATTTCTCGGAGGCACGAGCTGACGTGGCACTGGAGGAGATCGATTTCCACCGGCCGGATGAGAGCGTCGATGGCAAGCTGGTGCCGGTGAGGAGGCGCGGGGTTCTCGCCGTTCAGGTGAGTGTGTGTACTCAGTGAGAAGAAAATCAGTTGCATTATTTATTTTTTTTCGCCTATTTTTTTGGTTTGTGATTTGTGGAAAATTGGAGAATTAAAATTGGAGTATTAATTTTCTTTAAAAAAAATGAAAATTCAATTTTGATTTTTGGGAAATGGTACGCTTTTGCAGATCAAAAAAACCTGCACGTCAGAAAGTGCATTATTTTTTTTTTATTTTTTAACTTTTTCGTCTATATGGCACGTGATGTGGCCGTGTGGTATGTAAAAAAATTATTTGTAAAAAAATTATTCGTTCTGTGGAAAAAAAAGAATTATCGTTCAGTGGATTTTCCAGTTAAAAATTATATTCGTTTTGTAAAAAAAATTATCCACGACTAAATAAAAAAGAAAGAAAACCTCAAATCCTAATTGTGATTAAGCTTCTCACTTTTAATTGCCCTTTCTTCGCTCCTGACCACATAAATTTTGAAAAATTATGGAAAATGAATTTCAAACAAATATTGGAAAAAAAAAAAGCAATTAAACTACTCGAATAGAAATAATCATATAGTTCAGTACTTGAGTGGGGTCTGATAACACTATGACAGGTCACCCATCTGAACCGCGGCGGACTTGTGGTGGCGTGCACCTTCGCCCACCAGGTCGCCGACGCCCACTCGACCAACATGTTCCTCATCTCCTGGGCTGAGATGGCGCGCTCGGAGCCACTCTCCCAGCCGCCGTCCTTCCGCCGCTCCCTTCTCCTCCCCCGCCGCCCCGGCCGCTACCACCTCTCCGTCGACCACATGTACATCCCGATCTCCGCCCTTCCTCCGCCGCCGGAAAATAAACCCCTAAACGACGACGCACAATCGGCACTCAGCCGCATATACTACATCAGCTCCGATCGAATCAACGAGCTCCAATCCCTAGCCAACAGAAGTCGGACCAAGCTGGAGGCCTTCTGCGCCTTCGTCTGGAAAACAATCGTCTCCGGCGAATCCTCCTGCAGCGACGACGGTTTCTGCCGGCTGGGCGTCGTGGTCGACGGCCGTAGCAGATTGGCCGCCCCCGATATCGCCTCCTATTTCGGGAACGTCCTCTCGATCCCGTTTGGGGAAAAGCGAATTAGGGATCTGAGGCGAAAATCCCTAAATTGGGTGGCCGACGAGGTCCACGCGTTCCTGCAGGCGGCCCTGAGCAAGGAGCATTTTCTGGGGCTAATCGATTGGGTGGAGGAGCACAGGCCCGAACCGGGCCTGTCGAGAATCTACGCGGCACCGGCCACGGCGGAGGAGCCGGCGGTGGTGGTGTCCTCCGGGCAGCATTTTCCGGTGAGTAAGGTGGATTTCGGGTGGGGCCCGCCGGCGTTCGGGTCTTACCATTTCCCCTGGGGAGGAAAATCGGGCTATGTGATGCCAATGCCGGGCCCGAAAGGGAATGGAGATTGGATTGTTTATATGCATCTGCTTAAGGAGCAATTGGATCTGATTGAAACTAATGCAGGTCATGTGTTTGTACCTCTTTCTTCTGATTATATATTTTCATGTTGATTTGTTTAAAAATGAATATCTGTAAATTTTACCTGGAAAAAAGACTGATTGTTTGCTGTGGAAAAATCGAATTCGGTCGAAAATTCCAATAGTAAAACAGAGAAAAAATCTCACAAAATATGTTCATTATACTCGAATTTGTGCTTATCAACGGCCATCGACCATTGTAAGAGTTACATTGTTTAAGGATATTGAACTACTCTTTTGGCTCTGTTGAGTAGAACTTGTGCCCGTGCTAGAACGAGTCGAGTTCAAAACAAATGCTGATTGTTTAGGCTCGGGCAAATCTATAATCTCACTCCTAAGCATCGAGAGCACAAATGAAATAGACGGTCTATCTTGAGGCAGTTCTTGAACACACAATAATCCTATGTGTATGCACCTCACAATATCCACCCGGTGACTCGATATTCTCCGGTCGATGACATCACCAACATTTCCTTCTTTCCACATTTTCCACACCTAATGAAAAGTAATTTTCAAATGTATTGCAAAAAAAGGCAATTTTCCGTGTGAGCTCGACCATTTCGATTGAAATTAATCGCAAAATGAGAGGTACAAAAACTTACATGGCCCAAAAGGTTGGAAGATACTTCATGGCTGTAAAAGCTCGTGTTCTTTCTCCCGCTAGCAATCTCCAACATCAAAACACCGAAGCTGAAAACATCCGATTTTTCTGAAAACCTTCCTTCGATAGCGTACTCCGGAGCCATGTAACCGCTGCAAGAAAATCACATCCTTTTATATCAAAGCTTGGAGAAAAAAAAATTGAAAAAAAATAAATAAATAAATATTTTATCACTTACTATGTTCCCACGACTCGTATTGTGTTGACGTGATCTTGCTTCCCTCCAAGAATTCTCGCCATGCCGAAATCGGAGATTTTTGGGTTCCAATTATTGTCTAGAAGTATGTTGCTTGGCTTGAGATCTCTATGAATAATCTTGAGTCTCGAATCGCGGTGAAGATAAAGTAGGCCTCGACAAATACCGTGTATGATGTTGAAACGTTTTCCCCAATCTAGGACCTCTTGGGATGTGTCTTGAAAATAAAAATTGAAAAAAATTAAGTGAAATCGAGTGAAAAAACAGAGTGCTAGAGGATTTTTCAAGCTAACCGAAGAGTATAACATCCAAGCTTTTATTCGGCATGTATTCGTATATCAACATTTTTTCCTTATTTTCGATGCTACACCCGAGCAGCCGAACGAGATTCTTGTGCTGCAGTTTAGAAATCAACAAAACTTCGTTCATGAACTCTTCCATCCCTTGACCGGATGCCTTTGAAAGCCTCTTGACCGCGATTTCTCTTCCATTCGACAATACTCCCTTGAAATAACAACAATATTTTCTCATCCAACGAGCAACAAATTGATATTTTGTGAGAAAAAAAAAAGATAATGTAAAATAAGATACGATTACCTTGTAAACCGGGCCAAAACCACCCTTCCCGAGCTTGTTAGCATCCGAAAATTCGTTGGTCGCGCGTGAAAGTACCTCGAATTCGAACAGCGGCAACTCCTCAAGATTAAATTTGCTTAATATGTCTGTATTTTCAAGGTCTCTCATTCTTTTTCTGCCTAATAATGGACACCACAACAAGCAAGAACTTATGTAATCCCATACATAATCCCATATAAGCCGATAATCAAGAATCTAAAATCTAACCTCGTTTGTTCGCCAGACATTTCCATGAAATACCGACACAAACGGACATGACAACAAAGCCAACTACAACCGAACTCACTATAATCTTCGTCGAGTCTTTCTTAAAATCTGCAAATATCGACTAAAATCGATAAGATCGAGAGAACTTTATGATTTCCATGCAAAAAAATGCATTCTTCATATCGTATGCATGACCGATTTTACGATCTTGACGTAACAACTTAGGTCTGTAAATGAGCCGAGCCCAGCTCGACCTTCGGGTGCTCAAGCTCGGCTCGTTAAATAAACGAGCCTAAAATCGAGCTCGAGTTCGGCTCGTTTATCACTAATAACGACAAGCTGAGTTTGAGCCTTAATTAACGAGCCGACCTATACAAAATTATATAAAAAATTTCTTTTCGAGTCTTATCAAGCCGAGCCGAGGCGAACTAGAGCTTACCGAACCGAGCTAGAGCCAGACTCGTTTAGTTTAACAGCACTACGAAACATAGACGAATAAAACAGGGCATTCCAACTATCTTTCATATATATAAAAGCAAAAAAAGAGATGAAAAATAAACTGAAAAAATTAAACAAAAATCCTACCTAGTTCAGAATTCGCGACACGAACATAAAGATCCGAACCCGACTCATCCGGAAACTTCTGAGTATCCATCAACGACCCGCTCCAGAACAGACAACCGAGGCCCGCATAAGTATACGCCACACACGAACAGTTCGCTAGGCATCGGGCCCTGCACTCGCTTCTCGGGCCTGTCCATCTGCTCGAGTAGCCCGACATTTTCATCATCTCCAGCTTCAAGAAGCCATCGGGCCTACTCCCGTTGGCTAATGACTCGCAGCCCAAAGGGACTCTTCTCACGCACCCGCTGGACCAGTTGCCTGAGGCCCATTCCGGGCCGTTATTCGGGCTGAAACCCTGCAAACACCTGCATGGGCTCACGTCGTTTGGGTTGCAGCTGCCAAAAGGTCCACAAAGGCCGTAGGTTTCGCACGGGTTGCCGGAGGTATTATTAGTGTTTGTTTGGGCCGAACAAGGGCCCGGATAGGAAAAAAATTGAAAAAGAAATATTATTATTATTATTAGTTTTGGAAGAAGAATTGGATTATTATGAATATTTTTAGTTTTGGCCATTGTTGTGGTGTTGTGAAATGTTGTTCTTCGTTCTCTCCTTGCATGGGGAGAGAGTTTATTGGATATTGCAGTAATTTATGAAAGCTGAATTAATTCAGTTGACTTATAAGAATACTTCTTGTGAAATGTCACATCTTTGAATAATATTTTGAGGGAATTTCATTTAAAAATCGAAATAATAATTCTATATGTTTTACTTTTTCTTTGAGCACTGAGTCAAAGTTGAACCAAAATACTGGCTATGACGAGCACAAAGGTCAATTCTATCACTACAAAGTGCAAACGAATTATCATATGCAAACAAAAATGTATTCTAGTATTTCAATATTATAAATGAAAATTTTTAACGTGGAGAAATATTAAAATATTATGTTGGGATCTAATTTTTGTTGGAATTCAAGTAATTAATTTGATGATTTTAACAATTATTTTTTTAAAATGTTCCATAAATTTTTGTTTGATTACACAATTTTTACTAGAACATTTTTACCGTCAAATATGTAATTCCAACAGTTCGAAAAGTTAGTGTTTGAATCTTTAAAATCCAGAGAAAATTTTTATGTAAAATAAATTGCATCAACTTACCATTAAAATTTTATTGAAATATATTTATTGGTTGGAATTTGATATAATAATTTTGTTAATAAATTTAGGTAGAGTATTTGGTATTCTTTGATGGAAACTATTTATATAATAATTTAAATGGGCTCACAGAATCTTATCTTTGATTTGATCATAACACTATTATATCCGTGAAACAGTCTTAACACAACTTTTTTGTAATTGTCGTCAAGTTGGGCATTGGCTCCACACTTCCACTAGCCGCTATAATGGACTTGCATATTTTCATGCAAAATTAAAATAGATAAATAAAAGAGAAAAAGCTAACAATTATATATAAAATTATTTACTACTTTAATGTAAAATGAAATTCAATTGGGCTATTTAACAATTATATATTAAAATTATAGACAAGACTATTTAAATAACGTTTTTGGGCTATTTAAATTAAAAATTGGAGTTGGATTAGAAAATTGATCAGTCACAATCTTTAATTCAATTGTCTGTTGTCTGATAAGCAACGAAATAACTTTTCTGGTCCACAAAAGTTAATTTTGAAAAGTTGAAGAAGCTCTTTGGAATAAATGATTATAAATTAATTGTTTTTATATTTCAGACAAATATGTATTTACCAAAATAAATTCAACCAATTAGTCGAGTTTTAACTCAGTCGATAGTAATTCAATTAGCTATATGCTAATAAGCTAACTCAATCAATATCCACCAAGTGTCAATTATGCTGGAAATAATGCAATAGAGTTTTAGACATATATAGCACTCTTCATGTACCCAAAGTCCCAATCATTAAAAAATAATAATAATAAAAAATAAATAAAATGAACATCTTCTTCAAATTTTCAGTTGAACTCTTCTTACAAGTTAGAATAGATTGTGACTTTGTCAACAAGGTTGACTCATCCACAATAAAAAAAGTGCAACAAATTCTACAATTTTCACTGCACTTTTAGTTACATTCAATACAAACAAGTGTGACAACTATCTTAANAGAGTAAGAAATAAGCAAAGAACCAAAAAATGTTGTTCAGGACAAGAAACAGAATATAAGGTTTGATAAAATGCAGAAAAATATCTTTATAAAACTCTGTTTTAATCAGATTGAACAGGACTATGGTCCTTAAAAACCGGTCAATCCTAACTACTGAGAACTTAATAAGGCTAATTAATTTGGGGCATTGATGATTTATCGTTAGACAGTAGATCAATCATACTTTTGTAACAAAATGTATACTTATGTTATGAAATGTAAAATGTAATGTTTTTGCTTGTGTTGTTCTTGATTGTATAACATTTCAATTTGAAAGGTATGTATATCTGTTTAAAAAGTATAATTGTTAATATTTAAGCCTATTTAATGGTAACCTTATATTATCAATGAAGAAAAACATCACCAAGAAGAAAAGGCCAATTCAACTGTCAAAGGGAACTTTTTCATGATCAGAAGTTAGAAAAGAGATCTCCACACATATTGAACTCTCACCATTTTTGCCTTACTACATTTCAGAAACCTTTTTCTTGAGAAAAATAACAAAATTCAGTATAATTTTGTCCACTTGGTCTTCAAAAACAAAAAATAACACACCCATGATTTACATAAGCAACACTAAGCTCAAGACAAACCTACCTACATTAAAAAAAATATAATTGTCTAACTGTTAAGACCTGACAATAGGCTCATTGAAAAAATATAATTGTCTAACCGTTAAGACCTGACAATGGGTTTATTGAGGTAACGAACATACAAGAGACTCAAACTTATCCTATATAAAGCCATTTACATAAAAAAACCAAACCTTTTTCTTCTCATAAAAACAAGAATATTCTTCCTTATTTTTCTCAAAAACATAGGATTAGCAAAGCAGTGCCATCCCACAGGTACTGCAGATCTGTTATACAAGTAGCTTTCCTCTTAATTATCACTATTTGTACATTGCACTTTACAATACAACAAAAATTAAAATATTGACATATATATAATTCTATATGTATCACTTCAACTTGGAACACTCTTTAACATCACTTATTTAAAAAGGGTATTATTATAGCTTCAGCGCCCGTCAAGCATCGTGATAGTCAACTCGTTGACCGAGAACCCAAAGGTCGGGTGAGTTGACCCCGCGTGAGAACGGTCCCACCTCTCGGCAAAAACGGGCTGCTCGGGCAACGGCAAGTCAACTATCTCACGACTCAGCATAGACAAAACGGTCTGAACGGTTGGCCTGTCTTTAGGAAATTCTTGAACACACAAAAGCGCGATATGAATGCACCTCACAATATCCGACTGGAAATCCGGATTAGCCACCGAATGATCCGCGAAAGCCATGCCATTGTCCTCATTCCATAATTTCCATGCCTGAATTTTGTGGAAAAAAAAAAAATGAATGGGTAATAATGTACTAGGATAATAAATAATAAGATTATATCTGGTAAAACTAGCTGATAGCTTATTAGTGATTTTCGAGCTTATAGTTGAAAAACTAGCTTATATGATAAAGGTATGGTAGAATCAGTTGATAAGCTAGTTGAAATAAAAATTTTCAACTAACTTATTTGAAAAAGCTACCGAAAGAAGCTTATGAGATAAGCTTGAGCTTTTAAAAAAAAATCGTCCTACCAAACAGAACTTATTTGAATACAGGAAGCTTACAAACTGACGAAACGGAACCTTAAAAAGTGAATGAATTACATAAATTTAGAAAGGGCTTACACATCCTAAAAGGCTCAAGGACCATTCTTGATTGTAATACTGCGTGTTCTTTTTCCCGCTTATAATCTCCAACATCAGTACTCCGAAACTGTAAACATCCGATTTCTCGGAAAACCGGCCCTCCATTGCGTATTCTGGCGCCATGTATCCACTACGAAAAGAAAATTCACCGTATATCGATTATCAATAATATTTTCGTAACATTCGCAAACAGGGGCCAAAATGGCTCGATTTGAATTTTCAAAAAAAAAAACAATAATAAAAAAAATCGCGCTTACTAAGTCCCGACAACTCTTGCCGTGCTAGCTTGATCTTGGTTGCCTCCGAATATCCTCGCCATCCCGAAATCAGAAATCTTCGGGTTCCATTCTTCATCGAGCAACACATTGCTCGGTTTTAGGTCACGATGAATGATTTTCAGTCTCGAGTCTCTGTGAAGATACAAGAGCCCTCTCCCGATACCTTCGATGATACTAAACCGCTTTTCCCAATCGAGAATCTTTTGCGATGGATGCGTGGAATCTAAATGAACGACAAAAAAAGAAAAAAATAAATCAAAATTGCTCGAAAAATTCTACAAACTCAAAAAATATTCTTAGTTTTTACTGACCAAAGAGACAGAAGTCCAAGCTTTTATTGGGCATGTACTCGTACACGAGCATTTTCTCTTCTCGTTCGACACAACATCCGACCAACTTGACGAGATTCCTGTGTTGGACTTTGGAAATCACAACTGCTTCATTCCTGAATTCTTGCATACCTTGCCCTGAAGCTGCCGAAAGCCTCTTCACGGCAATTTCCTTCCCATTCGCAAGCTTTCCCTACAAATAAACCCAAAAATAAATAAATAAAAAAAACCAGTAAACTATAGATTTTACATCAAATTAACTTTAATAATTTTATTTATAATATTACTTTAATATAAATTCGAAATCCTACTAACAACTAACCATACCACATTTTTCCAAATTAATTAATCATGGTTAATAAAAAAAAAAACTCATTTTGAACGGATATATTTGTATACAAACACGTCCTAAAGATTGTACCTTGTAAACATATCCAAAACCGCCCCTCCCAAGCATATTCTCGTCGTGAAATTGGTTAGTCGAGTCAGCAAGTGTCTTGAAAGTGAACAACGGGAGTTCTTGAATGCTTACTTGCTCCGACTCGTCTTTCAGCACGATAGCAGTCGAGTCGGGTTGAAATGTTTCCACTGTCTTTTGGTCTTTTATTATTATTCCCTTTCCTGCTCAGTGCTCAGAGCATTAAATCAAAGTAACACACATGATTAGCAGAAGGCAAAATATCGGCATTTTGTACAGTCGTTACGAACAACTCATTATATATACACGACCGGTTTTTTTACTTACCCTTTTTACCCTTCTTCTTGGCCATCCACCACCAACCGAGCAAGACGATTATCAATATCAAAGCAACTCCGCCGACCACAAGTGGAATGATTATAACCAATCTCCTTCCATGGCTTTCATCTAACAAAAAAAATAAATAAATAAATAAACAATCAAACCGAATTTGATCGATTATCTACCAAATTTTCAATCACTACACAAGTAGACCGAGTTCGGTCTGATTAGCTAGTTCGTAGTCTATGAGTGATAAATTTTTGAGCTTACAATGATTTATAGCTGAAAAGCTAACTTATATGATAAAAATATTTAGTAAATTTAACCGATAAGCTAGCTGAAATAAAAATTTTAACTAGCTTATTTAAAAAACTACCCAAATGAGATTTTTTTTTCTTACCAAACGAAGCTTATTTGAATTGGTGTGAACGTTTATTCATCGAAAACAGAGTAAAGAAATTGTCTATTTTATTTTTCGGAACCAAACACAAACATACCAAACTCCGATGCAGCGAGACGGACGTACATAACCGCGCCAACCCCATTAAACTGTTGAATGTCGACTAAAGTTTCCCGCCAAAACATACACCCAATATTCGTGTCGTGTGAGTACCCCAAACACGAACAGTTCCCTAAGCACCCGACCCGGCAATCCTCTTCGACCCGACCCGGAACCCGTTCTGCAAAATCAGGCACTTTCATATTCGGCATCCTCAAGAATCTATCTGGGCCACACCCGAGCCCGGCCCGTCTCGTGCAACCACTCGTCCAATTCCCGTTGGCCCACTCGGCCTGATTTGCGGGCTCGAACCCCTGCAAACAAGAACATATGGGCGAACGAAGCGGGTCACAAAGCCCGAAAGGCCCACAAGTCGCGTAGAGATCACAGGGGTTCTGTGGGGCCACCCACACGATATCCCAGCTCCGAGTCTGTTCGGTCCAGAGGGTTTGGACCAAGCTTCCGGTCGAGTTCACGTCGATTTTCATTAAAAGCTGGCCGGGAGGGACATTGAAGTAGTAATTACCTGAATCATTTCCGACCTGGAATCCGTCGAGGTACGGCGAGTACATGTCCTGGACGCCGATGAGGATGAGCCCGTTCCAGGGCCCGCTACGGTAGAACGGGATGCCGTTTCTCCAGGTGAAGATCTGGGGGATGTTGCGGGCCTGGAGGCCGGCGGTGAAGTCTCCGACGGCCGGATCTGAAGGGTTTCGCCAGGAGGAGGTTCGTACCCGCCGGCCGGTGATGACGTCGTCGGTGAGGTTCATGGTGGGGACGAGGAAGCTTGTGGGGTGGGTGAAGCTGTCCCAGATTATAGATCCGGTGGAGTTTAACCGGAGGACGAGGTTGCCGGAGTCGAGAATCTCAGCGGTGGTGGCGACGGCGGCGGAGGGGGGGAAGGTGGCGTTGGTGGACCAGAGGGTGCGGTTGAGGCCGTCGGAGAGGACGAGGTTGCCGTCGGCGGAGATGGAGACGCGGCCGGAGGAGTCGGTGAGGGGGGTGGCCCGGTTGGCGACCCATATGACGGAGGTGTTGTCGACGACGTGGGATATGGCGAGGTA